TACATATAAATACATATGTACACGTAAATACCTATTAAAAATTCCAAATTTATAAATGCAATTCATAATTTTAATTTTATCTAAATCTAATTTAATTTTATTATTCCAAAACTCTTTAATAAATTGAATTGACGGTAAATTTACAATCAGCAGTTTGAAAGAAAAAAAAAATGATGTATATTATATGTATTTCATATTATAGGTATAAGAATTATGTATGTAAATATATATCGTCGCCTTAGATTAAAATTATCCCAATTCAAATTTTTTAAATTCTTCACCGTTAGAGTTTTAGAATTGTAGACAAAATTAGTTCCATTGCTTATACTTAGAAGTAGAAAGGTTCGAAATTTGTACTAACCAAAATTAAACAGCAAACAAAAATTCTAAGGAAGCCTTTGGTTCCACATCAGCAGATTTAAGAAGACGATTTGTATGCATATGTACTTCCATATATAATATTATGTATATAATACATGAATACATATATGTACGTATAATATACATCTAATATATCATCTGTAATATATTATATAAAATAAATATAATGTATGTAACGTTTTTTTCATATTAATATTGTTTATGTGCGTAATTAATACATGGAATTAAAACAAAAATAGTAATAATTTAATAAAATTTATTAATACCGTATTATATATATATATATATATATATACATATATAAAAATTCCAAATTTATAAATATGTATATATAATATATACATATATATGTAAATATTATATTATATAACCAAATAAAAATGTATAATTTTATAAAATAATTTTATTTTAAGTATATATATATATAAATTATATGTAAATATTATATTATATAAACAAATCAAAATGTATAATTTTATAAAATAATTTTACTTTAAGTATACTTTCTATAATCTATATCGTTGATCAAGAACTATCATAGTCTCAATGAAATGTTTAATATACGTATTACATATAAGTAGGGTGTTCCCTGTAGTGATGCGTTGACATATGCTAGAGTGTATTACTATTCGTTTGTATATACGGAAAGCATTATTCCAAAATGGATTCCATCGCAACCGAAAAAGAGTAAAAAAAAATTTTACTTGTTTTTCGAAAGTACTGAAAACAAAAAAGGCAATAATTTTGACTGCATTTGCTGAAAACCCTGTTATACAACCTTTTCACAAGTATGAAATTTCAATAAAGTCAGCCAAAATAATGATTGCCTTTGGAGCTACTACTTCTAAAACCGGCCGCGACAGACGACAATTGTGGAAAATTTTTTCCTTACAAACGAAGATCTGTAAATATATCACTATATGAACCATCCTGTATATAAATATATGTATATTCATATAATGTTATATATTAATATTGAAATTATGTAAAAATTAAATTTTTATATATATATGTACACATACATATATCATTATCCTTGCATGTGAAGCATATGCATATACATATATATACATATGTAAAACGAAAACAATGCAAATTACAAAAAAATATTTTTCACATTCATCATATTATATAACAGGAAAAAATAAAACGGTATTTTATATAGAAAGACTTTGTTTTCGCATTCTTTTCGTGCTAGTACTTTCATATTTTAAGAAAACAAGCTCGAATTGAAGTACAAAACGTTTTAATACAAGAATTCCAGATTAAGGATTTAGTTTATCAACAAAGTTGTTATTAATGAACTTTTGAATTTTGAATCGAATAACTTTAGTTGAAATATTTAATACGAGATCTACATTGATCTTTAATTTACTTTTATATTTATGGCAACAAATTAAAGTTACTTATGTATATGGATTGATTGAATAAATATGTATTATGGAATTCTTATTTAATTTTTATTTAATTCCATTATTGAAGATTCCTAATCTTTATCATTTCATAATGCCAGAAGTATATCATTCGCATTAAATATTTTGTTGGAAAATTTCCAATTAAATTAATATTTGGTAGGTATACGGTTATATAAAGTAATCGATTAAATTTGCATCCTGTTGTTAAAAAGACAAATTTTAAAATCATTTTATTTTTACGTGCATGTAATATAAAATAATATCAACATCCTTATATAAACAAAGAATATGTATTAGTATAATTATATATACGCAAGAGTATCTATGCATTCTGTAATGTAGTTATATTTATATTATGTACATACATTATTAATACATATTAATTATGTTAACAAATTATCATATAAAAATATGATAGAAACGTATGCATATATATATATATGCATACGTTTCTATCATATTTTTATATTTATATACTTTTTTTTATGTGTATTATATTTTTGAATAAGTATAAATTTGCCCATATATATACATATATATATATATAACATGATGTATAAATATGTATGTGTGTGTATGTATGTTTATAGATGTGTAAATATCTCTATTTTAAGTCAGTTAGTTAAATCCTTATATCGCTCTATAAAGATCGTTAATAAATTTTTTTGAGAAAAAAATGGCAAGTGTTTTTATATATTGTACCGTTACTGACTATACCACAAAAATTCAAATTGTAAAAATGTTTTGGAATAACATCAATATGAAACCTAACCTCATATTAAAAAAAACAGGAGAAGAGCATGAGCACAAAATTTTTCAAGCCAGCATAGAATATGATTTATATGCTGGAACACAGTGCTCGAAGTGAGGCGGGATGGAGTGGGATGCCATCCCAGTACTTTTAAATAATTGGAAATCCATCCCACTACTTAATAGGAGAGAAAAATGCATTCCGGAACATGTTTTTTAAAATTTAAGAAAATTTTCTAATGAATTTTAAAAATTTTTTTAACAAAAAATTAAATATATGTATGTAATTTTAAATAAGACCAATTTCAAATAGTAACGTATAATTTTTTTCTATTAATGAAATTTTCGTTACTACATAGTAGTCTATGCATTTCTTTGGTAACAATTTGCACAGTGTTTGATTCAATTTTTAGTTGATTTAATTTTGAATATAAATATTCTCGTTAGTTTACTTCCAAAGTTTGTTAAATTTTGTTTAGTTATTTTTTTAAAAAATAACTAAAATAATACTTTTTTGTTATTTTTTTTTTTTTACCATCCCACCACTTTGAGTATCCCACTTCGACCACTGAGGAACATTAAAAACTATTGCTAGCGTAAACCAAAAAGTAATAATATTTTCTCCCAGTGGAAAAAAAAAATTTCAAAAAAAAAAAACTATACAAATTGTTCCATATTTCGTTCTCTTTTTGGTTGCTAGGAAATATTTAAAATTTGATACTTGGTATATGGTAATGCTAATTTTTATAACTTGGTATATGGTAATGCTTCGTTAATTTGATAAAATTTGAAAAATTTTTGTTTTCGAAAAAAAATATCGCAGCGTTTTTTAAAATAATCGTTTTTTAAATAAAAATGTTAGTGCATCACAAGTGCATTAAAAAAGTATAGTAAATAAAAAGAAATATATAAAAGTGAAACATATTGGTCATATTATATTGGTTGTTACACCCAATAAATTTTTTATTATTTTCTAAATAAGTGTAATGCAAAGAAATATAGGTGATAAATATTTTCAGATTAAAAAAAAGTTATATTTGCATTGGAAATTATAAATTTTTCCCGTCAATGAAATGATTTCTTTGCATATTGTGTCTTTCTTTTTCTTTTTTCTTTCATTTAATGTGATTTAATTTATAAATTTTGTAATATAATCAACTAAAATATAACTTTATTACCTTATTACATATTTTTTACTTTAAATTATTTATGTAATCTTTAGATCAATCCATTTTAGTTTATTTAATCTCCATTTTAGTTTATACAATTATTTTTTTAAGTAATACTTATAATTAAAATAAATATTTTAAATCGAAGTTTTTTTTTCAATTTCCATAACTTTTTTCCCTATTTTAATATTTCTCAGAGATGGTAATACGAAAAACAACATTTTACTTGTTAAAGACACTCTATGACTCTTAAAAATTTAGCTTCACCTAAAACATATAAGACCAGCTAATTATACATATTTTATTGTACATCCATAGAAAAAACGAAACTCAAATACCTACATATATCAAAAAAATTTTTCAAATAAACGTTTTTTTTTGCTGTGATATATTTTCTCCAATTTGTCATGTGCATACACAAAACCAGGGTCAAAGAGAGACTATTGTCAGTTTTTAAATTTAATTGTCTATGGGTCTGATGAATTACGTACACATTTATAAATGTGACGTCATCGGGCAGTAGTAAACAATAGCTTCCCAAATATGTCAGATTTCGGGGCAATCTTGAAAATTTAAATGTGCCATGAGATTTCAAGTGATTATTAGTTTTAAAGTTTAACGTCAATTCTTTTACGGTTCTTCGAAAAACATTTTATTCGTACTTTTATGAGAAGCTCTGAACTTTTAATTTTAAATAGCAAACATCTCATTCATTTAAAAAAAAAACCTCTTAAGCATAATACCCAATTGAAAAGAAATTTATTCCATATAAACTCCATTTTTATTTTTAAAAGTAAAATTTTCAAAAAAATACTGAATCTTACTTATATCAATAAATTGTAGTAGTTACCATTGCAGAAGCTGCGATGCATACGCAACATACGTACTTCCTCAATTCGGAAAGGCGGGTTTTCCAAATTAAAAAAAATTTTTTTTTTTTACAAAGTATGTATGTACATCTTATTTATATAAAAGTATACATATAAGAATTTCTTATTAATTAATGGAAATAATAAGTATTGGAATCCTTTTTTACCCAGCTTTCCATTGTTTCTTTTAAAATTAACACATTTTTTGAAAATCCAAATGGAGCAACACTGTGAATACTTCTCTTATAGTTGCACATACTGTTTCCGTCATCAAACATATTTCTTTTTAGTTTTGCATATTGTTTTGAGTTTTTGACATTTGTGTTTAGGTTAACCTAAAATTTTTGTTTAAAAACAAGGTAATTAAATTATATTTATATGATTAAAATACTTATATGCAATTGCAATTACATACATCTGGGAAATTATTGTTGATACATTATTAAATGTTTTGGTTAAATTCATTTCTTAATTTGAAATGTTTATATAATAAATTAGTTTTGAGTTTTATTGGTAAAAGTCGCCATTGTTGGAAAAATATGGATTGTATCGATTTGCATCCGCCTAGTTCTGTAAATGGAATGACATTATTAGACAAAAGTTTGTTCAGAAAGGTAATTAAAATACCGCAATTGAAAATTCCACGAGAAAAATCAAACGAAATTTTACCACTACTTAAAAATTATTTGCTAAAAATGGAAAGGATTAAACCTGTTTTCCCCAACAAAGATAATACTGAAGAAAAAATTGTTTTATTACACCCAAAAGCATATAATTGGGAAATTCTTCCAAAAAAAGAATTAAACGACAAAAATATTACAGAAAAATGTTTTCAGTACGGAGAATTAGAATTGAATTACGAAAATTGGAAAGCCGATGAAATTCTTAAAGCTGTTTTGCCGAAAGATTCTGAATCTTTAACTTCTTATTCAAAAATCGGCCATATATTGCACGTAAATTTACGAAACCACTTGTTACCATATAAAACTTTAATTGGCGAAGTGCTAAGGGATAAAATCCCAGGTTGCAGAACAGTTGTAAATAAGTCGCATTCAATAGACAACACTTTTAGAAATTTTTCGTTAGAATTGTTGTGTGGTGAGGAAAATTATATCACTGAAACTAAGGAAAACGGAGTTAAATACCAATTTGATTTTTCAAAAGTATATTGGAACCCTAGACTGTCTACTGAACATGAAAAAGTAGTGAAAAACCTAAAGTTCGGTGACATTTTTTATGATGTTTTCGCAGGTGTTGGACCTTTTAGTATTCCAGCCGCGAAAAGAAAGTGTTCAGTAATAGCAAATGATTTAAATCCAGAAAGTTATACTTGGCTGAAAGTTAATGTAAAAATGAATAAATGCGAGAGTAATATGGAAATCTTTAACATGGATGGAAGAGATTTCATTGAAAAAATTGTTAAAACAGATTTGGCAAAAAAACTGGAAGAAAGCAATCATGCAAAATCCCGGAAAATTTTTATCACAATGAATTTGCCTGGAAAAGCTGTTGAATTTTTAGATGCCTTCAAAGGTCTATTAAACGATAAACCAGAATTGGAATCAAAGCAGTGGTGTTTACCATTAGTTCATGTTTACTGCTTTATTAAGGGAGAAGCAAATAAAGATTTAGTTTTAAATTTTGTTGAAGACAATGCTGGTTACAAAATACGAGACAACTTGGCGGAAATTCACTTTGTTAGAAACGTAGCTCCCAGCAAGGATATGTACAGAGTATCGTTTTATTTGCCGAAGAATATATTATTTGAGGACGTTTTAATACGTAAAAGAAGGAATTTAAAACCTGAACATCAACCGGACCAAAACAAGAAAATCTGCACAAATCATTAAGGAAACATTACTAATATTTCAAGTTAATTTTTTTTTTAATTTTTTTGTGGTTGTGCGTACTTATGTACTCTAAAAAATAGATATTCAACTGTAAAAAATTTAAATGTTAAACAAATATTTCATTTTCACAATAGTACGCATATGTTGTTTCAATATATTTTGCAAATAAAATTGTTTTTCAAAGGTTAAATAATATGAACTTTTTAATTTTAAACCTATAAAAATATATCTATTTAAGTAGAATACCCATAGTAGTAAATATCTCATATCCATATAATCTTATTGTAGGTTTCATTATATTTTTACAGGAATATTTGTAAACTAATATGGCACGTAAAGCAAAAGGTGGTAGCGCCAAGAAAAGCCCAGCAAAAGCAGCCAAAAATATTTTCAAAGTTGCCGGCCCGAAAACAAATAAGAAAAAAGCAAAAGAAGTACAAGTTAAACTTAAGAAGGTACACACTTATAAAAATGCATATTTTCCAAAACCTTAACATCCGTCATTATATTTTAGTTAAAAGAAACTGTTAAAAATAAGCAAGAAAAGGTCGATGAAAGTTTAAAAGAACTACATAAAGACATGGTAGTGAAAGAAGATAAACCAAAAGCTTCACCAAAAAAAGCTGCCGGCAAAAAAACTCCAGCTGATGCTAAAGGTGCAGCGAAAAAAGTTGGCAAAATGAAAGTTAAATAAATTAAAGTCAAATATATACCACATATAACTAAAATAGTATCAATTAACAACAATGCAAGTGGAACAATATAAATATACGTTTATAATTTGCCCACTAACAAAAAAATTTTAAAATAAGATTTTGATAATTTGATACAAAATATTTTGAAATAATATTTTTAATTTTTATTAAAAGATTCTTTAATTATATACATTCATTAAAACTGTTGTATACGTTTTGTATACATAAAGTATACATTTAGTATACACTTTTCGGTTAGAAAAATTATGAAAACAAAATTTTTAAACTTATATTATATAAGTTCATATACATAAAAAAAACAAGAAAATATGCTGATTTTAATAAAACAAATAATAGTTTAAGGATATTTTTTATTTTTTTATTTTAAACATAAAATAATCTTTTTGAAAACTACATCTTGTACCTAACTGAATATGAGTTTTTTAATGAAATTGAAACAATAATAGAAATTTACGCTTATAGATTTAACCATTTATTTATGTATAGATGTTGCAAATAATGGATTCTTTCAATCTGTATAGTAATTTCCAAGTTAAATTATTTTTTGTGATATTTTCTTATACATTTAGTTGGCCTTGCTACTTTTAAAAGTTGCTAAATACATATATGTATTTACATGTCCAGGAAGGTGTCCTTGATATAATTATATCAAGTGATTTGAAACCAATACACTAAACAATATTACGAGTATTTGTTATTTCAGACATAATCCATTAGAAAATGGATTTTTTCATTTATCAATTGCACACTTTCAAGGTTCTATTCAATTGAATTTTTATTTTACGTATAAAAAATATTTCAGAATTTTTATACTGTGTATAAAAATGTGTTTTATATATATATATAGCATACCTCTATGTATATATATATTTTTAACAAGAATATTAATAACAAGAAATAGTAAATAACCACTTTGTAGGTGATGCCATGAAAAAACTAATAATATGCAACTAGACTTGAGCACCGTTAATTTATTAATAACTTAACAATACAAATTTTGAGCAAAACAGAAAGTTACAATATGTAATTAAATTTTTAAATTTACAAATTTTCTTATATACAGAAAAAATTATATAGAGTTTTTTATTTGTAGAATGAACAAGACCAATTCTAAAATATTCTTAAAGCAAGAAAAAATTATAATTAATTTAAATTTTTATTAACAATAAGAAAAAAATTAATCAATCATGGTATTTTCTCCGAATATCTAACATTTTCACGTTTTTATTAGTTATTGTTCTTAATGAAATTTTGCAACGAAAATTTATAGAATACAAACCTCATCCTTTGGGAGCGTTAAAATTCATATTAACAAAAAATTACAAACTAATATTCAAATCACGGCAACATTCGTTTCTTTTAAATTTTTTTAATTTGTAGATTACTTTATTCGTATGTAGGAAATTTTATTTCTATTAAATTTATCACAAACATATATAAATGCATATATGGTTTTAATCGCTTAGTGGACACAATTAGAAATTAAATACGCTGCATTTATGGTAACACAATTTCACTGCTTGTTATAAAAAATGAATTAGTGTTTTATGTCCAGAGGCAATAATATTAAAATAACCAAATTGTGGCGACCTTTAATACATAACACATTTACAAATTTTTAAGGTCTTCAAATATTCGTATGTATGCAAGTATTTTTGTAACAATTTAGAAATCAATCAAAGAATTCTAGAATTTAAAAATGTAACTGCAAAACATATGTAAATACTTAGGTATGTGAACATATGCACCTTTGTATGTGCATATGTACACATTTACATGAGCATACAGAACATGGGAAAGACAAAATAAAATATTGATGTACCTGCCTATAAAGAAATTTTTAATATAAAATACCGCAAAATGAGGCAAAATATTAAGAAAAAAAAAAACTATTTAAATATTGCGTGCGATATTTTCGTGTTAACTAATCCTTTTATTGACTTTGATTACCCATCGTATATTTCACTTTATTGTGTTTTATAATTTTGTCCACAATTTTTGTATCTAGTATCCAAATTAAACTGCATATATAAATTGAAAAATTAAAATATTTTTTGCCAGTTCGTCTTCTTTCATGAAGAGGCCTCAATCTCGTTTTTCATTAATTTTATTATTGATTACTTTTACAATATCTACGGTTACTATTTCAAAATCATAAAAATATATAACTATGGTTAATTGGGACATAGTTCCAAGTTGGCAGGATCATAATCTAAGTTCAAATTCAATTAATGCTCCATTAGCACGGTAAGGAAATCTGTAATATTTGTAATTTGAGAAAAATGAAAAAAAATTTGTTTGCTTTGCTATTTTCAACAATACTAATCTTAATATTTCCTAATTTTAATAATAGAACTGCAGTACAAGAAGTTCGTTTAAATGGATGGAATATACCACCAGAGGAACTTGAACATGTCCCAGATCATTGGCTTTCATATCCAGAACCACCGGCATCTATACATTTTATGTTAGGAATTTTATATACATTTTTAATGGTCGCCTCATTAGTCGGAAATGGATTAGTTATTTGGGTTTTTACATGGTACAAATTATTAATATTTTTAAATTTAATCAATAAAATTTTAAATTTTTATGTTCTAAAAACTCAAAAACATTTTGTAAAATAAGTGCAAAAAGTTTAAGAACTGCTTCAAATATGTTTGTGGTTAATTTAGCCATACTTGATTTTATAATGTTAGCGAAAGCACCGATATTTTTATAGTAAGGAATATTTATTAAATTCAAGATACTTAATTAATTTAATTAATTTTTCTTATCTAAACTACAAAAGCAATTCCTTCTCAAGAGGTTTTGCCTTAGGTCACATTGGATGTCAATTATTTGCTGTTATAGGTTCAATTTCAGGAATTGGTGGTGGAATGACAAATGCTTTTATTGCATACGATCGCTATAGTGTTATTACACGCCCGATGGATGGTCACTTATCAATGCCGAAAGCAATTTTAATGATAACTTTCGTTTGGTTGTATTGCATACCATGGACAGTTATGCCACTAACCGAAATTTGGGGAAGATTTGTACCAGGTAATTGTAAAACAAGAAGTTTACTTACATATTATATCAGTCTTATATTACTTTAATATGTAAAATTATATATTAAGTACACATATACATAGATATGTATATGGGTTTTTATGTGCTGTGATTTTTCATTAAAATAAAAAGACAAATAAGAAGTAACATTCATAAATGATTATTAAAAATTAAATGTAAAATTGAAATTCATTTACTACATACTGCATACATACATAATGTATGTGTTGATAATTTTTTTATTGTAAAAATTTTCAAAAGATTTAGGTGTTCTTATTCATTAATTTTCAAAATATTTAGGTACATCATATCAGTTGTAAGCAGGTATGAAACTTCTATGATGTTCGTATTTTGTTTTTCTCTACTGTAATGATATGGAATGCCGATATGTTTTGATTTAAGATGCTTGGTGTCATTTGACGAAAATGTAGCTTCGCTTTGATTGTTTCAATAAATTGATGTCAAGAACAAATCAAGTTCTCTTTCAACATTTTTCTTCCATGACTCCTTTGTGGATTAAAATTAATGAAGCGTATTCAGTCTCCATAGCTGACAGTGTGGTTTTTGTTTCTTACCTGATTTTTGCTAGGCAATATTCGAAGACTAGTGCTCTCAACTTCCGGAGGACCTATAGTTCCTATTTCATTTGATGTAGTCCATTTTTTTCTGCAGCATCTTCAGTTGAAAAATGCAATGCATTTAATAATTTTCTGTATTCTCGTTGTTGATAATTTTTTCAGCACTTTCAAACGGCATGACCTCTTCAATTAGTGTAATAATCGCATTACCTATTAACTTCACAACTATGATCTAGTAAAATTCATAATAACGCTTTCCTGGTTTTATTCATTCACAAGTTTTTAATTTATTGTTTTCACATATTTCGTCTTTACAAATTTATTCGTGTTCAAAATCTTAAACTTATGAGCAGAAAATCAATTCATATAGTTCTTGATTTCAATGACTCTACGTTTCATTACTGTCTTTAAACCGTAGATAATTATTTCGGCAAACCAGAGTTTAAGAGCATGTATCTTACTATGTCTAGCTGAGTACCGTTGCAACTTTGTGCTACTGCTTTTCCCTTTGGTGTATGTATTCTAAATAGACGTATTTCCCTAAACATCGGTACACAAAAAGTGTGATTAGTTGCAAATATGAGTGCACATTACGTTTACATATTTGATTTTATTATTAAATTACAAGATCCACACGCATCAATATTGTTAGCTTCGTCTCCATACTAAGACTTTCGGTTTGTACCATCAGAAGATTAGCTTTGCGTTTTGTTTTCTGGTAGGTTAGAACTCACACTTTATTTATAATCAATTGCACATTTATGTAATCAACTTGGTTTCTTGTTCACCACTTGAAAATTATCAGACCTACCAAACAGTATTTTAGTATATCACTAAATCACTATCACCAGTTATCAGCGGTTTTTTCTTACTCTTTAATTAATAGGTATAATTAATGTTAATAAATTATTAATTAATAGATATAATTAATGTTAATAATAATACATGATACCTATATTTATACATTTTTTGATTTTATTCTTACCTAAACGATAAAAATGAAAAATAAAATAATTGAATTTAATACTGTCTCCCGCAATCAAAGAATAACTAATGATTGAAAATTCTCATATTGTGATTCTCATATAAGAAGGAAATTGAATCTAAAAAATGAACATTAAAATGAAGGTCTGTAATTCTAAGTTATATGTTTTAATAATAGTATGCACAAATTTTTATAAATAATATTATGTGATGTATGAGTAGCACATTATTCCTTTCTACATGTGTGTATGTATGTATAACACAAATTAAAAATGCTGATTTCTATTTTTTTCAACGTCCTTTTATTAACTTTTAAGATTTTATCAATTAAAAGTTATAGAAAAGATTCTATTGATAGTATTTAGTATATTTTAAATTTAAATGGTATAGGCTAATATTAATGTAGTTAAAATGCTCAACAAAGGTTATTATTGAAATCTATTCAGTTTTTAACATTAACTTTATTTAAACTTGGAGAACTAAGTATACTAAGCTTACATAAATATAAAAACTATGATCGCAATGAAAAGATTTGCTTGAAATTTAATACTCGTTTTTGAGCAATATAAACTCTTTGGATAATTTTTTTTTTCAAAAAAATGGATTTCAACATGAGATCAAGTTTATATTTTTAACCACGTTTCATATAATATTCTTCAAATGTAATAAATTAAAATTAGCAAACTTTTTGGACAAATTTGGCCGCAGTAACAATATTTACTGCACACTAATTTTATATTTCTGAGACTTGGAAATATCTTGATTAATAATCAATTTGTTTTTGTCGCATTTATTACTATCTTTAGATTTACTAATTTACATTCAGTGTGGGCGGTAATATGCAGCTCAAATCAAAATGATATTTTTGCTAATCATTAAACATATATGCGTAGAAAACTAAAATATATATAATTGTATATAATTTCCAATGTAAGATAAAGTAAATCTATAATGTATTATATATTATGTATTTAAATTAAAAACGTCTGAATTTAAAAATATTTAATCACTGCAAAAGAATATGCAAAAAAATAAAATCAATTCTATTTTCCATTTAAAAGTTGTAAATAGGCACATAATAAGCACTATGTAAATAAATCAAATCACCTTCACAAATAAGTCTTAGTCAGCTAAAAATTGTTCAGTTTATCTTTAATCCTTTTATACTAAATATTCGAGAGTTTTATATTATATTACTGGTATTTAGTAAATTAATATTTAGCAAATTTGAGGAAATTAGTATAAAAAGACGTGACATCGATAAAACTTTTCTTGTACGGTAAATACTTTAAACGAATTACATTTATATGATTTATTGAACTTTGGGATAATTTTTTTAAGTTAAATTTGTGAAATTTAATTAAATAATAACATATTAAGTTATATAGTATGACTTTTTCGAGTGATATTAATGAAGTATATGATAATGTGACTTTATTACATCCCGAAGCAAGGTAAAATTTTAGTTTAAATATTAGTAATTAGAATATATTCTTATTTAATAAAACCATAATAATGTGTACTTATAATATTCTCATTCTATACTCATGTTTATATGTTATATAAATACTCACATGTATATAAAATTTAAAGGCAGTCATCAGAAATTCGTTTAATAGGATGGAATATACCACCGGATGAAATAATTCATGTACCAGATCATTGGCTGTCTTATCCAGAACCACCTGCATCTATGCATTTTATGCTTGGATTATTATACGTATTTTTCACAGTATTCTCTTTAGTAGGAAATGGTTTAGTAATATGGATTTTTAGTGGGGCAAAAAGCCTTAGAACTCCATCAAATTATTTTGTTATAAACTTAGCTATCTGTGATTTTGTCATGATGTTGAAAACGCCTGTTTTTATATAGTAAGATTTTTGTGGTTTCCTTCTGAAAAAAATTTACAAAAACAAAATCAACATTATGTACATAGCACACAATAGATATTATTTTATCAAATACTTTTTTTTAATGTGTTTGATTTTTATTTATAGTAATTCATTTATGAGGGGATATTCTTTAGGTCACTTTGGATGTCAAATTTATGGAATAATGGGTTCAATGACTGGCATAGGTGCTTCGATGACCAATGCTTTTATAGCATACGATAGATATAACGTCATAACAAGTCCCCTCGAAGGAAAACTTACAAAGGTTAAAGCTATTGTAATGTTAACATTTTTGTGGATTTACTGTATTCCATGGACAGTAATGCCCCTAACCGAGGTTTGGGGACGATTTGTGCCAGGTTTGTTTTTTATAAAATAACTCCCGAGATCTAATTAACAGCTTACTTATTTAAATTAATACAAAATAAACCAAAGATATTTAAAAATATATATTTAAAATTATTTAATATCAGAAATACATAATGATTTGTGAGCTACATAATCTCGCACGTAATCTAAATACTTAAACTAAATATATGTATGTAGGTACCTACTTATATATTTTGTATTTTACCTAAATGTATTGAAAACACATAAACAAAACTTATTGAACAATTTACCTAAAATTTCACTTTACAAATTGCATGGATATTGGATTAAGACGTAATTCTTAATCATGGTTTTTGTACCATATTCCTTGAACGAGTTTTTCAAAGTAAATAATTATTGTAAGTTTTTGACGAAAATTGGTTTAAAAAATTAATTTACAAAAGTCACTCGAAAATCGCGTTATCCGTAAAATTAAAATAAAATTATTAATAATAGTAAATAATATTTTTAATATGCACGTGTGTGCTTGTTATGAAAATATTTACATAATATTTTCGTTCTCAAAAATATTTTTACAAAAAATATATGTACATATTTTGTATCGCAAATTTTTTCGATTTCATATTTTCATTTCGCCACCAAATCAGTATTAAAGAAAGTTTGTTTCAATTATAATAAATAATCAGTACAACCGTCATAAAATAATTGTGAAAAATAATATACACATTTTTTCCTAAAAATTAACTTTATTCCTTTTTTGTAATGAGACATTAAAACGACAAAATATTTGATACTATTATGTTTTCAATATACATTTTTCCCAATATGCAATGAATTATTTTTACTTGGTTTAATCTAGGTAAATCATTTAATTATTCAATTATTTAACAATACGGTATGCCTAATATATATTTTTATTTAGAGATTAAATAAAAATAATTAACTGAAATAAATTTAAAAATTAATATGTAGACCCAAGTCTTTTATTTTTGATAGCTTTGAAATTTTATGCTTTTAAGAAAATTGTAACCAGTCTAGACCATTTATCTATTCATTCAGTAAATATTAGATAATTTCAATTTCATTTTTTTGGTATAATTTCATTACTTTTTGTTACAATTGTATATTTCAAGTTTTTAAAATTTTCAATTTATTTTATTTATGACAATCGTAAGACCTTTAATTAAGAATATCTTAAAATTAAATTAAAATAAAACAGCTCTTGATTGAAGTTAATTTAACAAATCATTTTTTTTAAGTTACAAGAAATTTGGATCATCATGAAAAATGAATTACCATATTCATTATCTTTTCGAAATTCAAATAAAAAAATAAGAATTGTCTTTAAACAATAGAAATCGTAACATTAATTCCCAAATTCCCATTATCAGCGAAAAGTTGGGCGATCGATGTATCAAAAACTAAACAGTCTGAATTAAGAATAGCACTCGCGACACCTTCATGAATTGATCTTGGCATTGCCTCCCAAGTTAAACGCCTACGATTTCCATTTAATTCCAAACGGTAGGCAAAATTTTCAGCTTCTTTTCTAGAACCAATTAACTGAACAATAGCAAAAAATTGTTGATGACCATCAAACTTTTCCTGCTTCTCTAATACAAGCATAAAATGATGTCCAAAGCATGATTGCATCATTACCCAGTCCACAGCTCCGGGTAAATTTATATCAGTAGCCAAAAAAACGATATCCTCTCCTTGTAGTGTTGTAATCGATTTGTGTGACATCATTAAATGTGGCATGACTAGTTCTAAAGGACCTTGCCATTTGCAAGATGCACCTGGACAAGGACACAGGTATGGTCGTTTTTCACAAGTTTCCTCGTGCTCAACTTTTTCTGTATAACTTAAAGATGCCGTACACCCATAGTTCGAGTGCTTACATGGAAATTTTACACTTGATGCAACTTTTTCCATAGCTAAATTTCGTATATTTCCTAGAGAACCCCGACATGTCGGGCAACAAGTTAATTTTGAGCGGCATGAAGCACAAACAAGATGACCACTTTGGCATTGCAAAATCGGCGGTAATACATATTCAAAGCAAACTGGGCATTCGAAAAGAGATGCTAGATCGTTAGACATTGAACCATCGCCTCCACTACCAGATGAAAGAGATGAACTACTGGATGAAGATGCATTAGCTGAGGTTTCTCTACGTTTCGGATTAATTTTGTTTGACATATTTTAGACGATATAAGTTAAACAACCACTTTACTTGTTTTCATTAGTTGATCAATGTTAATTACTTAATCAAATCACTTGCATTGCATACACATAAATTCTTTTATAAAAATTTCTTTCAAACTTTTGTGTATCTTTTTTAAAAAATTAAAGCATCAATTTTAATAAACATTTTTAATTGTTCAACCAAGATTTAAGGCAAAAGTATTTTTTTGTTATTTCGTTTTTGTGATTATTGTAGCATTTATAAAAATTTTGAGATTGATAATAACTGATGCCTATGATATTTACATTTTGAACAAATTAAACAATTTCTAGTTTTTTTCTATATTGCAACAAATGCAAACTCTAAACTTTTCTTTCAATTGAATTAAAAAAACTGGTACTCTATAACATTTTTAATTATTTACTTTTTCTTTGAATAATTCTATATCTTAACTATAAACTATTTTGTAGTTTGTTTGTGAGTTTATTTATTAATTAAATATGAAAAAATATATTATTTTTTTTCAGGCACATAAAACCATACAAACTGACTCCATTAAAATGATTTTGACAACTTCACTTTATGCAATTAATCCCCTTCTTTTGACAGGAAAATAAGTAGCGTTTTTAAACTTTGATTCATATTCAAATGAAAAGTAGGGTTTTCATACTTTAATTCATATTCGGCAGTGATGAAATATTAAATATTTCTATGCATTGGCTATAATTATGCTCATAATTGTTACAAATTTTGATTCTGGTTGAGTGTAAAGCATTTGCAATGCTAACACGTTTTTATTTACTTTTATATTCCAAACTAAGTTGCGATGGAAGTTTAATAAATTACATTTTTTATGTATTATTGTTCATTCATTTCATCTGAAAAAATATATAAAATGTTTTGCGCTTATTTACCCCCGTTAAATAGTTCATGAAACGCTATTCTTAGTGAATTTTAATAAAAACGGTTTAAATATTCAATTTTACACTGCAGTTTTTTGACTTCGACCATTAATCATTAACTCTAGCCACACAGTTCAACATGTGCATCAGTTTCGTTGAGGTCAATATAAAATTAAATATAAATACATATTCAATAAATATGTTCAACAATTCTTGGAAATTTCTTGGTTTTTCGAGTCGGTTGAAACGGATGGAAGCTATTAAATCTTTATGGGGTTCTCATTATGTGTCTATTCTATCAAAATTGAACATTTAAAAAAGGTTTTTAAAGCTCAGATGTTTCTTGTTTTTAATATATTGTTTATTTGACTACATTTTTTCGTAGAGTAAAATCTAGCAAAGATATTTCTTTCTTGTAGAGGGATACTTAACATCATGTACATTTGATTATATGACTGATAATTTCGATACAAGATTATTTGTTGGATGTATATTTTTCTGCAGCTACGTAATGCCAATGACGATGATAATATATTTTTACAGTCAAATTGTAAGTTTAATATGCTATAGCTTGTATTAAAATAAATTAAATCGCGGTTCGATTTATTAAGGTATCACATGTTTTTGCTCATGAAAAAACTTTGAGAGAACAAGCGAAAAAAATGAACGTAGATTCTTTAAGATCAAATCAAGGGCAAAATAAAGAAACGGCAGAAATTAGGATAGCTAAAGCGGCAATTACAATTTGGTATTTATATTAATACTTTATAAATACTCCATATTTGAAATTTCATAATGATTAACAAAAAATAATTACAGCTTCCTTTTTGTAGCTTCTTGGACACCTTATGGTAAATTTTTTTAAGTGGTTTAAACTCTTAATCAAATTCTTTTATATTTTTAGGTGTGATGAGCTTGATCGGAGCATTTGGCGATAAAACCTTGCTTACACCGGGAGTAACGATGGTATTGTTTATGATCACATTTAAAATTATACTTTTAAATTTTTTAATATGTTATAAATTTATAATGCAATTTGCAATCAGAATCACACTTATTGGCAATACGGAAATGATAATTCAGTTGCACGGTATCAAAAATTAATTTTTATGTTATAAGTTTTATACAAATTTGACAGAATAAATGTTCACCACTGATTTCTAAATTTCATCAGAAACCAAATACTTCTTATTTGTATGTGTTATTCATCACTAAAATAAAAAATTTATTCCGCAAAATTTCCTTTATTGACAAGCATTCTATGAAAATCTAAAAACGCAAACGCTGTTTCTTGATTTTGCCTATAAAATATTTTTTGCGTTATCAGTCTATGCTTGGTGTATCTATTGGTTAAACACGTCGATTCATTTGGTTGGATAAGAAAAACAAAAAAACTTTCATTCTACTCAACATTCAACTTCCAAAACTGTTGATCAGCATACTCATAATCGATTTAACTTTTTATCCTACTCAACCAAATGGATCAACCTATTGAATCTTACGGTAAAACTAATTTTGTTTATTATATTATTATACCATTTAAATCAAATATTTAACATATAACTGCACTATACGAAAAATATTAAAAAAATTAAAATTTCTATAATTCCAATAAGGTTGTGTTTCAATAATGTTTAAATGTTGATGATATTCAAGTAAAATTATATTTAACTTTTGTTTTTAGATTCCAGCATGTGCATGTAAACTTGTAGCATGTATAGGTACATATAATTCATTATTTTCATTTATTTCAATACCCATGCATATTATTTAATATTTAAAGATCCGTATGTGTACGCTATTAGTCATCCACGATATCGTTTGGAATTACAAAAGAGATTACCTTGGTTAGCTATTGATGAGAAAGAAGAGTCTAAAGAGACACAATCCACAAATACGACTTCCGAAAATGCAGCTCCAACAGCGTAAAAAAATCACAAGATTTTAAATTTAAAAAATAACGCTTGATTACGATTACACAATACAAATACAACGCTTATCTTTTTCTGGATAAAGAAGATAAGATTGCTTAAAAAAAATTATTTATTCTTTGTAGTTTTTTTTGTTAAAGAATTAAAGTAGCTCCTTTTTTGCAAAGTATTTTCGACTTTTACTTTTTAAGTATTTTAATAAATATTAAAATGAATTTTGCTAAATCCGGATATTTTTTGCGAAAGCTTTAATTTTCCATAAAAATAACCATTGATGATTTGGATAATCATGTGTTAAATTGCGTAATTAAATGTTTGCATAGGCAAGTTATTTACAAAATTGGAAATCAGACAAAAATTTTACTAATCCAATATTTATTTTCAATATTTTATTAATTAATTTCAATATTTTAACTTATAAGTTTATTACCTTCTCAACTGGCAAGAAAATTTTGCTAGTTGCTACTGAGTAAGTAATTTGAGCAAATTAAAAAAAAAAAAAAAATTTGAAAAAATACACAAAGTTCTCCTTTCAAAGATGTATGTATTTTAAAAAATCAACTGACTAAACGCCAACATCATAACTGCCAGTAGATCATAACTGTATCAAAAACCAAATGACAATTACTACTATTGAAAACTTATATGCAGTAACTTTTTTATGTAAACGCTCATTAAGACTCATATACAGTAAAACACGGTTAAGTGGATCACGCTTAATTGCATCAAATTTTCGTGGCTTGTACTTTTTTCGATTTTTTCATATAAAAAAATTCAACAGTGCACAACACGCTTATCTGCACATATATTTTTTCCCTCATGTAATACTTAATATGTAAATTTATTCGGTTAACTGCACATCCCTGTTTTTATTTAGCATAAATGTCAAAAATGAAAAAATACACTCTCAACTACAAAATAAGAAAAGCAACACTATGTAGCTACACAAAATATTTTAGTTTCTGTCATTGTCAAATTTTGAGTGTTGATTTCGATACCAGAAAAAGTATTTACTGAGATTGTAGCATGTGATGACAATCTAGAATGTTACGGTGATTGGACCGACATAGAAATTATGAAGAACTAATGAGGAAAACGATGAAGAACTAAATTTTGTGGAAAATTCTGAACCTCCTTTTAAAGTTCTCAAAAAAGATGCTATAATAGCTCTTTCAACACTTACACTTTATTTAGAACAAAATAATTTTGAAGATGAATTTAATATGCAGAGTATTGAAAATCTTGAGAAAGCATTTTTACAAACTTTAAAAACAAAAACCCAAGCAAAAATCATAAAATATTTTGTGAATAAAAAAAGTTTGTAAGTTGTCAATATTATGTATGTTTTCTATTAAGGGAAATTAATTTACCATTGCTATTATTATTTTTATAATGAAGTTAAATGTGCAATTTTTTGATTTTTTGTTGATTTTGAAATAAAATTTTAATTTTTAACTTATAATTAGAACCAGTTTTTAATAAATTCAATTCTTTGACATCGGAGGTAATTTTTTAAGTCGAATTCGTATAAGTGGAAAACACGCTTATAGTGGACAAAATTTTCTTGCCTGATCGATTTCCACTTAACCGTGTTTTACTGTATAAAAATTTCGTGTCCGTTATATTTGACATTAATATTCTCTTGTGTCCTTTTTTGTTTACAAGGTAGAGTACAAAACAAATAGATCCATCATTGTGTATACTTAAAACTGCTGTTGCTTTTAACTAAACGGCAAGTCAATCTTATATGTTCAACTACAGCATCACGACATTGAAAATCTTGAAGTTTAATCACGGTTGACAGATGTACTTTTTATAATGTCAAGAGTTTAACTAATAATTGTAAACAACAGCAAGTGGCAAAGCTGATTAGTAACTTATAATTGATAATTGTATTTTATAAATAATGATAATTTTTATTTGCTTTGTTTTTTTATTAATAAAAACTTGAGTGCCAACAACATATTTCAGTATGATATCGAATGTTGATTATTTTGAACAATTTCGACGGCATGTTCGAGACAATAAATTAGCTCGAGCTCGTAATGATGAATCAGTATCTTTGCTATTGTCAAATTTTGGTAATGAAGCATATGATTGCAGTGAGAAGTTTTTTGAACAAGGTATAGAATTCAGAGATTTAGCATCCCTTAACAGAGAAGATCTTCAACTATTTGGAATTAAGGATAATTGTATACAAACCGAAATGTTGGAGATATTTTCTCAGTTGACTAAGCAAGACTTTAGCTTGGACGAGTAATTGGAAAAAATAAACATCATTAAATGAAATAAAAATAATTAAATTTATCTTTCATTTTAGCATAAAAAATTCTTCTGAGGCCGCGAGGTATAATAGTGAAATTGTAGACAGTGCTGCTTCTTATTTAAATACAATGAAATTGGCGCTAACAGCAACAAATTTAAAATTAAAATTAAAACCGTCTGGGGATATTGTTGTAGACGAAAGAAATTTTGCCAGCAAATTTGTTTTAGATGCCTTATGTGAATTACAACATATGACAGATGAAATAGAAAAGGAGTTAAAAAATCTAGAAGAAGTAATGTTATACAATACATAGCAAATTATGAATTATATTTATTTTTATTTTGAAATCAATTTAAGATATGCTGCGATAGTTTAGAACATGAAAAAAGAAAACCTGGCAACGCAGCCTTGTACATCACCTTTGGAACCATTTTGGCATTGAGTATGTCAATTGCTTTTTGGAAATTACGTTAAAAATTCTGTTTAGATTAGATTGTAGGTATACGCGGAAGAGTAATCAGTTGCTGTAAATAAAGTGTAAATTTAAAAATTCATTAGATATATTATGTAGTTTATTTCAATATAAATGTTCTACTTTTTATTGTTATAATACATCTTAAAATTTTGTTGTAAAGGTACTTATGGGTTTAAACGAACAAAGAAAAGCAAATTATGTAGGATGTCTTAAATGAAATTGAATGTAGTAACGTATATTTACATATAACTACGTAAAATGCAGGTTTAAAAAGTGGATAAGTAGATATTTTGCAATAAAGTTCTATTCATATCTAATAAAAATAAGTTATATTTCACAATGTGATATATGCATTGCAAATTTTTTTTTTTTGTAAATAAGTTTATAACTATAAAGTTTTATAGTTTTATGAAAATAGGAAAAAGCCGGTATAATTCTAAATTTACACAATACTACTTTTGCATCAATGACTGACATACGTTTCATTCCCCTCGTCCAGAACTGTGCGCCAAAACTTTTTGGATACCAACAAGATTAATGATTCCATCATCCAGAAATCTTGCGTTCTATTTAGTTAGTCTTTCCAGTTTGTTCGTATTAATATTTCATTATTTTCTAAAAAAATGAGTTACTTTTACATATACGACAAAATCTACGGTATTATTTACATAAACGAAAAAACTTAAGATTAAATTTGCGACAAAGTTTATATGACTGTTTACATGTTTATACATTGAAGTTATATCAAACTATATGTCAAAACTTAAAAATTTGACACAAAAAAGCAAGAAAAAAAAATAGGCTGCTGAAAACTTTTAGAAGTCCGATTAAATAATGGATGCGTATGTAAACATTACCCTAATCTAAGTTACTGTTTACGTATATAGAATGACGTATATGTAAACGTATATAAGCTTTATTAAATATAAAAAAAAGCTGATGTAAAGAGTTTTTGAACTGAATTTTTTTTGTGTTATACAAGAGTAAAAACTAATCTGCGAAATTAAATGTCAAACATTACGGCATTTATAGCGTATGCGGGACAAATTATTTTTTACATTTTAGCAATTTACGATCATAATTTTGCTAACATTCCACCTAGATATGGCACTATCCCACTATCATTTATTTTTTACATTTTAGCAATTTACGATCATAATTTTGCTAACATTCCACCTAGATATGGCACTATCCCACTATCGATATTTTTAAATTCGATATAATACTATTGTAGCATCTTTTCTCAGTTGACTAAGCAAGACTTTAGCTTAGACGAGTAATTAAAAGAATAAGCATCAATTCTTATTAAGTATTAAAAAATTTTGAAAAAAGAGCAAAAACAGGCAAATCTTGTTTTGAATTTTATGAATTCCATAGCATTGTTTTTTTACGTCTACACTACAAATATTTTAATAATATAGACACGTTAATGTATTACATCAGTTTTTCGTTTTAGTTGACGATATTTAAAAATTTTTCCTTTTTATTTCTATGTTCTTCTATTTCATTGCAAATATTTCTTGAAGATGTGAAGTGAAATGGAGCTGGGCAGTCGGTTAAATTATTTAGTTAAATAAAAATAAATATAATAAAATATATATAATATATATAATACATAATAAAATAAATATAATACCTATATTTAGTTAAATAAACTTGTCAGCTAATTGGGAACTGACAAAAAAGTTTTTTTCTTTAAGCTAGTAATATAAGACAAATTCAAAAAGGTCAAAACAGTGAACAATTTTACATTCATATATAAAAAAAAGAAAAATATTTTTAAATAACAAAAAATTTAAAGTTAATATTGTGCACAATATTCAGGCATTATGCCTGTGTAGGTAATTGATAAACCTAATTGCAATTTGTATTTTTCAAAAAATATTATTCATATACTGATATTTTTCAAATAAAATTATTTTATGTATATTATTTTATATTTTTTTACTTATTCAATGTTGGGTTATAATAACATTATCATGTATGTATATGATACTGATACGTAATATTTAAATTTGTAAATATTTAAAATATAATTTGTAAAGAAATAACAAATTAAATGCAGGCCAACGGTGCTCTATTTTATACAGCAAGTTGCGTTACAAAAATATTGATATATTGCGATCTTTTTGCGTTGATATGTCGAAAATATCATAGTTCTCAAACAGAATTTCACCCATGTATTTCAATTTTCGGCAGCGAGATTCATTAAAATGAGTGGAACAAGTTTTAATTTTTTCCTGATTTTACTGGGTTTGTTTACACTTTAATTTTTCATTGCTTTTAAATAAAAGTTAATTTTCAACTAATCTTCAAAAATTATATTCTTTGCGCATATGTGTATTTCAAATTAGAAATATAAAATAAAATCGAATAAGTTTTTGTTTGTCTAACATTAACACAATCTTATATAAGGTGAACAACTGAAAATGCAAAAATAAATGACAAAAAGCCCGCTCGGCTGAATACAACCAATATGGAAATACGGTATAGTGGGCAGTTAAATACGTCAAGTTTACTATTATTTATTTTTTATTATAATACAAAATTGATAAATTCGAATTATATTATAATCACACATTTATACATTTTAAAAGAAAAAAGGAAGAAAATTTACAAGAAAAATAATGTTATAAAAAATTCGGAACGATATGTAATGTTTTTGACATTTTAAAATTAGTGAAACTAGTTTATTTTTGACATTTTCCATGATCAAAGAATTTTCTTTTAAAGAAGCCGAACCAAATTCATGTGGCATTATTATTCACGTACAAAATGATTTTGACAGTTGCTTTGGTTTACCATCTGCATTAACATTATATTCCATTAGTATTAGTAAGTACCTACTTCTTATAATTTTTATATTAAAGCAGTCTTTTTGAGAACATATAGTGTTTAGGATGTATAAAATGTTCATAGACATGGTGAAGCTATTTTGTGTTAAATGTGATTATGTTCTGATTGTAATAAAAAAAAAGTAAATATTTTAAAATACAAATTTTTGTTTTACCGATACTAAGTATTTTTAAGTATTTTGATTTAGTGGACCAAGTTAAATTTCCAAAAAACAAAAGGACATGTGCGAGTACTTAATATATAAATATGAATTACGTGTGCTACTAGCATATTATTATGTAAAATATTCTTGAACATGTAGCTGAATACAAAGTCTTGATAATTTTGTATTTTAAAAAATTGTAATTTTTAAATTTGTATAGTTTTTCAAAACACAACAATAATGGAAAAAAAATTTATCTTTTTCATTGATAAAAAAAAGTAACAAATAACGAAGTTTAGTTATGCGCAGCTGTGGCTGTTTGTGTTAGTTATTCCTAATTCCCAAAAATACGAAAAGCATTTCAACATTATAATTCCAAAAAAGAAAAAAAATTTGTGAACAACGAAAATTTTAAATCACAGTAAAAATCAAACTAATTTTCCTTTATTATTGCAATAAAAATATGATGTGCTAATGAATGAATCTATGTGTATCAGAATTTAGAAGGTTAAAAATTAAAGAGAACTTAAAGAGATATTACACCATAAAAAGTAGCAAAAGGAGAGTTTCATAATTTTATAAATGATAAAAATATTAATGAAATTGAAATAAAAAGCATTTATTTTTACTTGTCTAATGAACATATTTTGATGGGATTTTTTTTAAACATCATTGTAAAATTGTGAATATTGTCTTATTGGAAATTGTAAAATAAGAGAACAAGGAAATAAACTTACTTATGTTATTTATTAAAGATTGTTTCAAAATTTAAAAAGACAAAACATTTTATTTGTTTAAAATATTATAAAAACAGGCACAATAAACAAAAACTTGTGCCTGAAATTTTATTGAAATTTTTGACTATAATGAGAGGAGAAAAATCAACATCAATAGCAACAGCTCACCAACACCATCAAGTATATCATGTAATAAATAATAGTTATGGATCAAATATGGCTGACGATGCAAGAAAAGTACGAGTTGAAGAGCAATTAAAAATAAAAATTGGTAAGAAAAAAATTAAATTGATTGCAAAATTTTTCAAAAATATAATAATAAACGTGGAATCTATATTATAATTCTTTAATTTAAAAAAAAAAACAATAAATTTTGATGTAAAGTGATTTTAGAATTTAACATGTAAAATCAATGTTTTTTATAATGAGTGAATGCGCGGATATGTAGGTACATATGTGTGTATGTTATGTATATGCATATACATATAAACGGTTTAAACCAATTACCTTTTTCAAGGTATATACATATATGCAAGTGTATCAATGTAAAGGCAGGTGCTAAGAAAAATCCAATTTTTATGAAAGCATCTAGTTTATTACAAAAATGAAATACAAAAAAATATTCAATATAATATAAAAATTATGAAACTGTGTTAAATATTTCAGGAAACAAAATGTAAATATTGAAAAAACTTGAATTAATTTTTAGAGCGTTTCTCACATAACCTAACCTAATAGAATAGGAAAGATTCAAAAAATTCGGAAAGTTCTCTAGTAGGTACATATAAATTTTTTATTTTCTCTTTATGCCTTCATATTTTGCTATATTTGGTTATCAATTGAGATTCAATATCAAACGCTACTTGTTTGTTTGTGTACGTACAATAAGTACATACACATATAATTTTTGTAAGTTTAACATTGGAAAAATTTCGATGCACGAAGTGAGCATTATATTTCCTTATACTTGACTTGACACTCTAAAACATGTTGTTTTATTTAAATGTGGTATAATATTAACGATAAACGCACACATTCTCACAATGTACACCTGCAAATAACAAAACAATACACATTGTTTTTGCTTGTTTCATGAATGAAATTCTCTAAACATAAAAAGTAAGAATGAAAATATATATGTGTTCGTAAAATAACTATAGATGTATATTTATATATTATGTAAATACGTATGTATAATTTGATATTGTTCAAATTTTTTTTTCTCTTTGCCGTATTTTCAAATGAAACCAATAATAATATTGTTTATTGTTTTTATTATTTTTGGAAATTTTGTAGAGAAATTTAGGAAGTGTAGGTTTTTTATGAATGATTTTGATATTTTTTCAATACAATGTATATTTTATATTATACACATTTTTTGTCATTTTATTAGCAGGTCGGGTACAATGTACTACTTAGTTCTTTAAGCTGTGAAGTAATTGAAACAATAATATTATGCATATATTAAAATGATCAATGATGTATGAGTATGAAAAATGAAAAAAAAAAGAAAAATTTTGGAGACCTAAAAAAATATATGTGTAGGTAGGAAGATAAATATTCGGTTAATTGACAATTTTGCAAATGAATGAATTGAATTTTTATTAATGAATTTATCTTTTATTAATAATATACAAAGTATCTATTACTTTTGCTTAAGAATGTTAAAATAGCTTTTTTCCTTTTTATAATACATAATTTCCATTCACATATGTAGGTACCGGCAATATCAAAGTTCAGGGAACAAGTATATCACTTATCCTAACAAAACACGAATATTAGAAATAAGTTGGGTTTCACAATTAATTTTAAACGTTTTAAAAATTAATTTCATTAAATAAAATAAAACTGTTTAAACTGTTTAACTGGAGTTGTGTTTTGAGACTTAGCTTATGTACTGTTTGACAATGCTCTAATTGAAATTTTAAATACATATTAATAACTTTTGAAATACCCGCATACATACATATGTATTTTATTTTGAAAGATGTTTACCTTTCTTTTAAATGAATTTTTAAATTTACTAACAGGTGAAGCGAAAAATTTAAGTAGCCGAAATAATGGAACTGGTGGAACCGCTGGAGTTCGTGATGTTTATTGTACTGTTGCATTAGATCAAGAAGAAATATGCCGAACACCTACAATCGAACGAACATTATCGCCATTTTTTGGTGAAGAATATCAATTTAAAATTCCAAGAACTTTTAGATATTTATCAGTATACGTATGGGATCGCGACCGACATATTAAACAAGATAAGCCAGTTGGGAAAATAGCAATAAGACGCGAGGAATTAGAAAATTATAATGACAAAGATCATTGGTTTTCATTAAGACCAGTTGATGCTGATTCAGAAGTACAAGGAATGGCTCATATACAAATCAGTTTTGAAGAAATCATATCGAACTCTATTAGCAATGTTGGCAGCAGTACAATTAGTTATTTAAAAAGAAAATCAGATTTTGAATCCAACAATGTTGAAAATTTGGAGAGGCTTTCTAATAGTAATAACAGTAGCAATTTTATAAATGACGATGATAATCTCAGCAGCAAAATGAATGAATATTGCTTGAGTAATCCAAGTCCAAGCAGTCCAAACCGTTCATTGTTAAATAAAACTAAAACTGCAGACGTTTTTTGGAATTTACCTTCAAAGAAACTAGGTTTAAATACTAATAATTTGGATGTCCCAAACGTATTTCGTCATGGTGATAATAAAAGTAAAATTAAATATGTCAATGCATACTATATTATATTTTCTTTAATAAAATATTTCCTTTAGGTCGAGTGGGAATTCATGTTACGGAATGTATAGGTTTAACTAAGAAAAATGGAACATGTGATCCATTTTTAACATTTACGGCGATGTATTCCAACAAAAGAAAAATTACTAAACGTACAAAAGTTAGAAAAAAAACAGTTAACCCTCAATTTGATGAAATACACTATTTCGATTTAACAATTGATCCTTCATCTATTACAAGTTTAGATACGAAACCAGATTCATCTTCAGTTAGTTCGAATAATACGTATACCATACATCCATTAGGAGGTGTAGATCTTTGCGAAATCTGCATAAGTGCTTGGCATGATACGTCAAGTATGGCGGAAAAGATATTTTTAGGTGAAATAAAAATACCAATAAGAGGGAATCAGCAACAATCGTCCCTGCAAACATCAGCTTGGTATTATTTTCAACCTCGCACAAGTCAATCTAGGCCATCCAGATCTTGCGCCACCCCACCTGGAACCCGTTTGAGTTGTGATAATTCTTTAGGATCCTTACGGCTTAAAATAGTTTATTCTGCAGATCATGTGTTTCCTTTAGCTACTTACGATAGTTTGTTAAATCTGCTGTTGCAAAGTGTGGAACAGCAGCCAATTACAACAAGTGCAGTGTACATTTTAGGTGAAATAGTAAGCTCAAAAACGGATGTTGCACAACCATTAGTTCGTTTGTTTACTCATACACAACAAATAGCACCTATAATTAAAGCTTTGGCTGACCATGAGATTTCCAATTTGACGGATCCCACAACAATATTTAGAGGAAATACTTTAGTATCAAAAATGATGGACGAAGCTATGAGATTATCTGGATTGCATTACTTACATAACACCTTAAGACCAGTTTTAGATCAAATATTACACGAAAAAAAACCATGCGAAATTGATCCAGCCCGTGTGAAAGACAAATCTGTTGTAGTTTCCAATTTGTCTAATTTACAAGAATATGTTGAAAAAGTGTTCGACGCAATCACTAAAAGTGCAATTAAATGTCCTACGGTATTATGTCAAATTTTTCATGATCTCAGAGAATGTGCAGCCAAACACTTTCCATTAAATAAAGAGGTGCGATACTCTGTTGTGTCAGGGTTTATTTTTTTGAGATTCTTCGCTCCAGCAATATTAGGACCAAAGCTTTTTGATCTCACCAATGAACCACTGGTAATATAAAATAAATTCATTAAAATTACATGTTAATTAAATTTTTATTATCAATATATTTAGGATACTCAAACAAATCGAACTTTAACATTAATATCGAAAACAATACAATCATTAGGAAATTTAGTTAGTTCAAGGTCTGCTCAGCAGCCTTGCAAAGAGGAATATACGGGGCAACTTTACAAAAAGTTCTGTACTGAAAAACATGTTGAAGCAGTAAAGCATTTTTTAGAAGTTGTTTCAACCGTTGGTGCAAGTATGAACCAAAACACAATATTAGAACCAGTACTACTAAAAGAAGGGTACGCAATTTATTCAATAAATTTTAAAATATTTTTTAATCAAGAACTTACTTTTTACAAAAACATGTATGTTTTATATTTTATTATTGCCTCCTTGTTTATGCCTATAGGGATTGGTAAGTCTATATGAATATTGTGTTCATTCCGTATTTATTTTTGTTAGTTATTTATTAATAAAATATATAATATAAATGAGCAGTAACATAAAGTAGTAAAAATATTAACCATCATAATAATTTTAATCAGACATAACTTTTACATTTTAGGATGATGACGAAACGCGCACAAGGCAGAAAACGTTTTGGGAGAAGAAATTTCAAACAACGTTATTTTAGGTTAACAACCCACTCTTTGAGTTATTCTAAATCAAAAGGCAAACGATCTATCTGTGATATCCCACTTTCTGACATATTGGGAGTAGAAAGAGTTCAAGAAAGGAGTTTTAAAATGCAAAATATATTTCAGGTAAATAATAACATACATACTTAAAAATTCTTAATGATTTCGTTTGGTGAATTTATTTTTTTATTTTCTACTATTTCATTTGTTAGAAAATAAAGAAAACAATCATAGCAATTAAAAAAAAGTAATTACTTGAATTATGTTGTATAAAACTAATTAAGAAAAAAGTTGTAATTAAAAATTCCAAGGAGATTCATATAATCATATCAGAATTACAATAGTTTTCTTTTTTGACTTCTTTTCATTTTCATTATCGGTAAAATAACAATACTTTCAAGATGGTTAAAAAATTATCTTAAGTTTATTCTATAAATCTATTGTCGTAGAAAATGTTTGTTATTAATAACTTTTATTAAATTTTTTATAATAGATATTGAAATTCGGAAAAATTATTCTCACGTTCCAGTTTTTTTCTGCTTTCATTGTGAAGCAAAAAATTAATTTTTCTTCCAAGCACTAAAAGCAAAAAAAAAAAATCTAAAGCAATAAGATTTCATAGTAAGAAAAATTTAAACTTTCACTACCTCAATTTTGCTAAGTTCAAAAAATTTTCGTTTGTTTAAATATTTGACGAAAATATATCGGTATTTTACTTATGTGTTTTGCATTTAAAAGTAGTGTTTTCAGTATGAAATTTTATAATATAATTCAATATTTTTAGTTCTAAAATTTTATAGTGATAGTATACGGTCAGTTTTTTGTTCGACTTTAATCTTAAAATAAAATAAATGTTTTAGTATTGATTAATGGAAAAATATAGCTTTTTTCCCCAAAATTTTTTCGAATTTCATCTTATCAAAATTTCTTTATAAAACTTGTGCATAATTAAAATAATAAAACGTTGTACACTGGGTTTTTTTCTCTTGCATTTTATATATTGCATTTATTTTTTGTTGAATGAACAAAATAAATAAAAGTAAATCTAAGATAATTTGTTCTATTTGTAAATAAAAAGTATTAAAAACGCTAAAATAATTGAGAAACAGTGTCTCATACCATAATTTCATATTATTATTAGTATTTTGTTTCCCTGATTTTTTGCTTCCGTTTACTTTTTCACACGCGTACATTCTTTTATTGAAAATAAAAAAGAAAGAAAGTTGTTTGTGTTTTCATTTTTAAATTAACGAAATGCATATGTGTACATATACATCTGCTTATGCATAGATTTTGGTATTATTTTTTATTTTACGAATGGATTTTTGTGATGTTTTTTTGCATTTTTTATTTAGATTATAAGAAAAGATCGACCCTTATATGTTCAAACAACGAATTGTGTGGAGGAAAAAGAATGGGTTGATTTACTTACCAAAATTTGTCTATCAAATTCTGAACGCCTACAAAGCTATCATCCATGTGCGTACATAAATGGTATTTGGAGTTGTTGTTCATTATCTGATGAAAATGCTGATGGTTGTACAAAAGTGTCAAATGAGCAATTTCAAATTGAACTTGCTACAGCGTTAGATCCGGCTCGTGATCTTCAACGTATACATACATTAATTATATCACATTTAGCTCATTTAGAAGCGATGCTTCAATCTACAACAATTTCATCAAATAGTGGTGGCACGTCATCAACTTCATCATCGGGGCCATCTAATACAATTGATCAACAACCAACAAATTATAGCACGGCAAGCAAAAGTCCTTTATTAAATGTTAATAACACTAGGAACTCTACAAAAACTATTTTATCAAATTTGAATACATTTGAAGAGACGCTTAGTTGTCAGAAAACTATTCATCAATTGACGGATATAGCGCTGAATTTAGATCAAGTTCATAGAACTTACAAACAAATTTTAGCTAGAGATTTGCGCTATGGTAGTCGTCAAGCACCGATTGGTGACGATAATTATTTACATATGATGAGAAGTGGTCTAGCCGCTGTTGCCGCTGCTCAACATCAAAGTATGCAAAACAATCAAATTTCACAATCGCATCATCAATGTTTTACAAATGCTGGAAATAAAAATTTCCATTTATCTCCTATTTTACCGCTCCAACAGTCAGTAAATTGCTATTCCCAATTTGTCAGTAGCTCAAACAGCTGTTGACATTCAAAATTTCGAAAATTTTGGGTTAAAAATATGTCAAATATTAAGTTGATTAAAAAATTGTAAAGTTTTGTTGTAAGGATTAACTAACTGGTAGAAAAGCAAACATTCCTGTATGGAAGGATCACGTTTTTCATTATTTTTTTTTTATTTATTTTAATGTTTTATAATTTTTCTTTAGTCTGGAATCATTTTACATTATGTGTATAAAAAACCCATATATGATGCTAGCGTTTGATATTTGATGAATGAATATAATGTACATATGTAGTTAATTTTTGAAATTTGAATTTGTTGTTTAGAAATAAGAAGAAAAAAAATCCCAATATTTTAATTTCATTTAACATCAAAATTTTGATTTCATTTATTGATAGGCTTTTAATAATTAGGCAAAATTAAATTGAATCAACAGATTAGTTCATATTTGGGCAGAATGAACTAAATAAATTCTAGCGCAATAATATTCATATCAATTTTTATTAATCTGAATTTAAATTATTTTAACATTATTCGACAACGATTATATTAGTATTATTGACTTATTTTTATAGATAAATTAATAACTTCATCTATTTAAATTATATGTATGTATGTAATAACTAAATTCATAAAATATTATAATCTAAAGTTTTAAAAAACAGTGAAATCGAAACTCTTTTTTGATTTCATTGTTAGTGCTTACCTGAACTGTAATCAGTAATAAATTAAAAACTAGTATCTTGGAAAGTTTCGAAATTTAATATTTGAAATAACAAGTGATTTTAATAAATTTCAAGCAAGGATAGTTTTATGAATATTTGCAAAATCAAGATATTAACTATTTAAAGTTATTGTTCAGCTATTTGAGGAACTAGTGCCCTAATTTCTCAAATTCTTACTCTTCTTACTATTAACCTCCAACTCAAATTAAACACCTGAATTATTTTTTCATTGGAAATAACAGATATGGTTTTACTCACGACCTTCCACCAAAACCATGGTCCTATAAACCCAGTTATCCATGAGCTAGTGGATGTCATAAAACTCCGAAAGCTTCCCAGTGAAGGAGTTTCTAATATAAACTTAAGTCACAATTTTGTTTGCTAAAAGAGATTGAAAGCCACTGATTGCTCCGGTGAGTCCACCAGAGATAATCTGTGAAATAGCTTGTCGATCTAATTCGTTTTGTATATATACATTTCCTGTAGCTGGCGATGATTGTTTGGAATGTTCAGTACTATAAACTTTAATCCCACATATTTTAGTTATTGCCTTGAAATTCAATGCAAATATTGTTTTTTTGTGCAACCGAACATAGTGTGTCTACCAAAGAATCCTCAGTATTTGTTTATCGTGATCTTTGTGGCAGATCCAACATAAAGGGTGCCATTTGGTAATAAGTCAGTAAGTTTTACCTAGTATCTTCACAATCTTCATAAGTGTAGGAAACATACAACATTTGATTTCAGCTTAATCTGATCATCCATAGCTTTTACAACTGCAGTGTGTGTTAATGTTAAATATTATTTTAACATCTACAAACACATTACCCTGCTTTATTGGAGAAATTACCAACATAATATTTTTATAAATATATCTGTAAATTTTTGTTAATATCTTTATCCAACACGATTTTAAAATTTGTGAGATTTTCATTCTTGTGAGAGTTTCAATAGTTTAACATTCAAATAAATTGATTCCAGATATGTTTATATGAATATTTGTGCGCACTTTCGGAAAATACAGCACATTTATAGATTCCTCTAGCTATATTATTATACATTTTCATTACTAATACTATAAGAATACATTTTTTTTTTCATGGGGAAATATAGATTACATTAGTCGTGATATGTGGTCCCCTATTGTACCTTCTTGTGTTTGTACGATAGATCTTTTAATTCTATCAAAAAAATCTTTCATTTTGTCTGTTGGAGCTAAGTTCCTTCGTTTATACCAACGAACCCAGATGGCTGCGTCTCTTCCAGTGGATTCAACCTTTGCAAACTCTCTTAAACTGATTGATTCTAGATCTTCATCATCATTTTCATCATCATCGATTTTTCATTATCTCCCTCTTCTTAAGTCTTCTTCATTATCTCCCTCTCTATAGAATTTTATTCCTATAGCACCTTGCCTTCCTAGAGTTTATCCCATTAATTGTGCATTGATGTTGTTTCCCGGTATGTCAATATCTAATAGTATTCTGGCCCTTCTACTTCCTAAGAGGATGGCTGTGTAATACGAGTGGAAGTACAAAATCCATCATGTATGGTAAATATGAATCTTGTTGGTTGATTTCCTCTTCTCGAGTTTCATATACTCGACTGGGGTGCAAGTGACTCACTCTGGGCCCAAGACTATGTCAAATCAATTCTATGTCAAATTGAAGCCTGTTAATGATCGTAGGTGATCATAAGCCATAGTTGCTGTACAATCCCTGTAACGTGAACCCAGAGTTCCTATTCTCAATAACCCATATGGGTTCATCGGAAACTTGGCAAGAAACATATCAATGGTAGGAACGATTTTTCGATAATGCGGATTGGTCTGCCAATGTCCACACGAAGCATGGATGACTGCCAGATTTCCAGGGACATTTGGAACTGTTGGACACTCGTTGAGCTGTGCGGTATTTTCGGTATGATGAGAGTTCTGTGGTTAGGGTTATAAGTCGATAGATCGATAATAAGTAAATGCAGTTGCATTTGATCTGATTTAAGGAGGTCGTTTCGGTACCAACGAAGTTATATGGGGTATTAAAATTAATCTCCACCATAACAAATGGATTTACCTCTGCACCAGAGGTTCCGATAATTCTTTTATATGACTTCCAATCAGAGGACAATTCCTCTTTGATATCCTTTAAGTTATAATATAAATAACTAACTGCCAAATTAGGTCTTAACGCCAAATTTCGTATGGCGGTTTGTACCTCCAGCTCTAAATGGTGTAATCGATCTTCAGATATGGAGTTTACATTTACCCTTGGTTTTCTCTTAGCATTTTCATTAAACCATGTACTCGGATACTGGGAGACACTTGCCTCTCTTGGGTCATGTTCCTTGGGTAAACGAGTTGCCCGGCTACCCTTCTCTTTAATACTACTTCAGACATTATTATAATAGTAATCCTATTAAAGTTAAAACAGATAAGAATTTGTGGATTTTATTATTGCTTAGTTAAAGTTTTATAGTTTATTTATAATAGATTTAAGGGTTTATTTCTCTTTGTATTTTTTCAATAACTTGTTACCAGAATGACAATCTTAATGATTACCTAGTTTGAATCCTAGTTCAAACTTTAATGAATATAAAAATTAATCTTAGTTTAAAATTTTAGGAAAGGTTAATAAATTTTTTATATTGTTTAATTTAAATCTAAAGTGAAAATTATTTTTTCAGTGACGCATAATTCATAATTTTTCCCCTATTTAAGAAAATTATTTTTTTTCAATAAAGAAGAAATTGAAGAAACATTTTTAGGCAGTAAAATTTTATAGCTAAATTTATTTATAACGATTTAAAAAACGTTAGTGAGTGTCTTGCTCTAAAACTTGATTAATGTCTAATGAGTTAGAATAATTATTTTTTCTAAGTAATTATTCTAACTTAGTAGATATTTCTAATTTTATTTTTTCTAATTAAAGTTGTAAAAAATACAAATTTAGATACAGTTTAAAATAAAATACATATGTATGTGTTTAACATCTTATTTCTCATTATTTTCTTATTTATTTGATTAAAAATAGATAATTCGTTTAAATGCAATAGGGGTTTCATCTGTGTAGGTTCATCTGTGTAACTTTCTAATTATTAAAAAAATGAATTAATGTTAAATATGTATATATTAATTCATTTTTAACTAATGTCGTTTTGAAGTTTTGCTTTTAAAAATTATTTTCTATAAAATTTGACAATCATTATTAATTTTTAGATTTAAAAATGTATTCGCAAAGTTGAAAAGTGAATATAGAAAATTCTAAATTAAATATAAAAATTTTTCAAAATTTTAATTTAGATCTAACTTGAGAATTTAACAATTAAAATTATATAATTTCAATATCGTACTGCACATTGCTTCCAGTTTCCAGTTATTTAAATTTTTATTATTTTATTATAAAAATCTTCATTTGTATGTACAATATTTTAAAAATTTAATTAAAAGGAATAAGTTTGGTCAATGGGTTTTCAAAAATTTTATTTGTTAAAAACTAAAATGAAATTCCCAAAGACAAAATAAAACTTATATAAATTAAATAATTTTATTAAAGTAATGAGCAGTTTGACATTTGAATTTTTTTATAAAATTTATATATGTATATTATTTAAGTAAATTAATATTTAAATGGATCTCAATTTAAAAACTAAAATCTCACAAATACAAAAATTTATTATATTATATAGCGAAATAAAACAAAAAGAAACAAAAGTAAAATAAAAACTCATATAGCATCCTTTCTTATATTTATAAATAAAAATAAAAAGCGACAGTCACAAAATTAAACATTCAGTCTTAGAATATTAGCTTTTTTTTGGTCTGTTCAATCACTATTCTCTTTCAGTTATTTGATAATTCTGTTTAATTCGTTATAATTTTGTTGCACAAAATATGACTACAGCATAGTACGCATACCTGTCGTCATATAGTATGCAGTCAATATAAATTATTTATCACTGTGATTATATGGAAACAATAAAAAAAATTAATGTCGTAACTGGATAACATTTCGCTAAATAATACTACATATGCTGGTGCTAATACTAATTGAAAAAAATAATGACGCTTAATTGAAAGAATTGTAATATTTAGTATTTTTTCTTTGTTCTTTATTGAAAAATAGGCAAATTTTAAACTGAAAGAGGAATTTATAGTGATTAATTCTTTGTTGTTATACATAATTTGAACATTTTAACATATTTTTTTTATAAACAAATCAAATTTACATTATTATTTCGTTAAGACAAACAAAATCGCAAATTTGATTCGATCATTTTTATAAATTTAATCATTTCCATGATCATTTGTCTATTTCCTTAACTTTTCTATATTCAAATAATGAATTGTTGAGTATACTCAAAATTCAAAATCATATTATATCGTATACACATTTAAATTCATAAACATAAATTATATCAAATTTAAAGCAATTGTACATTTTTTACAAAATATGAAATATTTTAATAAATTACAGTTTAAAACTCAAAAAATTAATTTGTAAACTCAAAGTATTTGGAAATTAA